GCCCCCCAGACCGACCATCTAGCCCCCCAGACCGACCATCTAGCCCCCCAGACCGACCATCTAGCCCCCCAGACCGACCATCTAGCCCCCCAGACCGACCATCTAGCCCCCCAGACCGACCATCTAGCCCCCCAGACCGACCATCTAGCCCCCCAGACCGACCATCTAGCCCCCCAGACCGACCATCTAGCCCCCCAGACCGACCATCTAGCCCCCCAGACCGACCATCTAGCCCCCCAGACCCGACCATCTAGCCCCCCAGACCGACCATCTAGCCCCCCAGACCGACCATCTAGCCCCCCAGACCGACCATCTAGCCCCCCAGACCGACCATCTAGCCCCCCAGACCGACCATCTAGCCCCCCAGACCGACCATCTAGCCCCCCAGACCGACCATCTAGCCCCCCAGACCGACCATCTAGCCCCCCAGACCGACCATCTAGCCCCCCAGACCGACCATCTAGCCCCAAGACTGAACATTTCTTCCCCAGACCGACCATCTAGCCCCCCAGACCGCACATCTAGCCCCCAGACCCGCAGACCCCAGAGGAGGAGGACAATGCCATCTAAATGAGAGCAGCGCAAATAAATCTTGTAACCAATTAGAATAATGATACGATCTCCCGCCGCCCGTCAGCCAGGCAGCCAGGCAGTCAGGCGGGCGTGTGAGAGCTACTGGGAAATGCGTCTACCAAATGGCCGAGGCGTTGCTGCTTTGTATTTTTTTTTTTTTTTTTTTTTTGGTCGTTATTCTGTTGTTGTTTTTTTTTTTTATTTTTTGTATCTGTTTTTGTGTGCTTTTGGTAATTCTTGTTTCTTATTTTGTTTTATTTGTTTATCTCTTAGTTTATTCATTTTTCTATCTCGTTTATTCATTTTTTTTTCTCTTTGTTTTCTTCGTATGCGGAGGTGTCTATATTACGTATATTCTTATTTTTTTATTTTGTTTCTTTATTCTATTTATTTTATTTCTTATGTCTATCTATTTTGGGAGAGTGGTTAGCTTTCCCTATTCTTTTCTCTTAAACTATGCTTAGTATTGCCCAATTTTCTTTCTTTCTCTCTTTCCTTCTTTCTTTCTTCTACAAATGTATTTATGAAATGGCGGTGGCCTTTTTTTCTTATTTTTAAATTCTTTTGAATGTGTTTCTTCATTTACGTGTGCTGTTTAGCTCTGCCTATCTTCCATTAAGAAAAAAAAATAAAGAAAGAAAAAGAAAAAACGGCAAATAATGGCGCCATTTTTTTTATTCCATTTCTTTTTCTTTGCATTTTGTTTCTTTATCTTGTAAGGGGGGGGGGTGGAGTTGCCTAGTCAAGCCTTTTTTCTAATACTTTTTTTTTCTTCAAATGCGTTTACCAAATGGCAGAGGCGTTTTAAATACATTTTTTTTCTCTAATTTTTACGACTTTTGTTTATCTTCGTGTTCTTCACATGCACTTCCTAAGTGGTTAATGCTTACGAAGATGCATATAGTCTATTTTTTTTTTTTTTTTTTTTTTTGGGGGGGGGGGGGTGCTTAAATCTTGCTAAAAAGTTGTTTTTGCTTTTCTTCGTCTCCTTGTAACGAGTGACGTCGGAGTTCTGTTTTCTTACGAGTGGGGAGGGGTGAGGTTGCATATTTCTTGTTTATTTTTACTTACTTTCTTTTTTTTGTTGTTGTTGTTTTCTTTCCTATCCCCACACTGACCTCTTTTGAATTTTCTCTCTTCTTCTCCCTCTTCCTCCCCTTCTCTTTCTTCTGTGCCATCTCCATCTCCATCTCTCTCTTCCTTTTTCTCTCTCTTTCTCTCCCTCCCTCACCCTCTGTCTGTCTGCCTGTCTGTCTCTGTATGTCTGTCTCTCTCTCTCTCTCTCTCTCTCTCTCTCTCTCTCTCTCTCTCTCTCTCTCTCTCTCTCTCTCTCTCTCTTCTCTCTCTCTCCATCTCCTTCTACCTCTTCTTCTCCTTCTCCCTCTCCTCTTTCTCCCTCTCCCACTCCCCTACCACATCCCGTTCTCCGCATCCATCCACTTGACACTTACATCTCGATAGTGTCTTAAAATACACCTCACCCCCTTACCCCCCCCAAACCTCCTCGCCCCCCCTCCCCCCCATCCCATCGACCCCCTCCTGCGCTAACAGGTTTTCAAGACCTACTGTGCGCTGCTTCGGGAATATAAGGAGGGAAAGTATTTGTACCGATATCGTAAATCAAATGTGTAAATATATATACATTTTTTTTCCATTGTGATTATTTATTTCTCTTGTTGTCGGGAGCCATGAATTATATTCGATATCAGATGACCACGGGCATGCACGCACACGTAGATGAACTCAAGTATAATGGATGTACACATGCTCACACGACACAGACACACAGGGACACACAGGCACACACACACATACATAAAATCCCACCCCCAACACCCCTACACCAAGGTACACCCACACCCTCACCCCCACCATACCCTCACACCCCTAACCTGCACGCCCATACCCCCATACCCCACCACGCACTCTCTCTGCCCCCTATCCCCACCCCCACCCCCTCGAGTCCACTTCTCGTCCACTCCCCCTACACGCTATATGCTAATACACTCACTCCGTCTACACGCACGCTACTCCAACACTCCGTTCTGCAGACGGCCAAACACATCAGCTGGCATGATTCACTCCCCAGAGGCGAGAGTGAGGCAAGAATGAGGAGAGAAAGGGAGGGAGGGAGGGAAGGGAGGAAGGAGAGGGGAGAGGAATGATTGTGTGTGCGTGCGTACGTGGGTGCGTGTGTGTGTGTGCATTCAGAGAGATTCAGAGAGAGAGAGAGAGAGAGAGAGAGAGAGAGAGAGAGAGAGAGAGGGAGGGAGGGAGAGAGAGCAGCTCTAATGAGGACCAACTGACCAAGGAAACAAAAAATGAAAAAAGGACAAAAATACCTTCCCTTTCTTTCTTGCCAATTTTGACACGCACTGACACATTTTGGTACAATTCTCGATTATCATTATGGCTTACTATATTAACAATAACATTCATTATCATTATCATCACCATTTCTACCATCATCACCACAACCACATCATCACCACCATCTTCATCATCATCATCATCATCACCATCAGCACCTCCACCACCATCATCAACGTCATTATACAACGTGTTGTGTATTTATGGAATAATAATAAAAAAAAAAACTTGAAAGAAAAAAATAAATTCAAATAAACATGGCAGTCGATCAAAAAAAGACAAGAACTGAATAAGAAACTAATGAAGTGAGAAATCAATTTTTTAAATCCCGTTTTTATTACCTTTTCGTAAGTAATAAAAAAATAAGAGGATTTTTTTTATATAATCGGATTTCATGCGACCAAACTGAAGACAATGAAGGAAGAAAAAAACAAAACAATAAAAGATAATCAAGGTATAAAACATAAAAAATAATTAAGACATGTATCGCTCATATTACAAGAAAAATAAAAGGAAAATTAATACACTCTTAATAATTTTGAAACGAAGATTCACGACGATAAGAATAGAAAAGAGAAAGAAAAGAGAAAAGAAAAGGAGAGAACCGAAGAGAAATAAGAGGAGCAGAAAAGGGAAGAGACAAGATAAAAATGAGAAAAGGAGACAGTGGAGAAAAAAAGAAGACAGAGAACGAAAAAGGAAGGAAAACAAGAAACAAACGAAAAATGGAGGAAAAGGAGAAAGAAAAAGAAAAAGAAGAAAGAAAACAAAAGACAACGAAAAAGAAAATAAAGAAAAAGAAAAATATGAAAAAAAGAGAAAAAAAGAAAAAAACAGAGAAAGAGAGAGAGAGAGAGAGAGAGAGAGAGAGAGAGAGAGAGAGAGAGAGAGAGAGAGAGAGAGAGAGAAAGTGACAGAGAAAGAGAAAGAGAAAGAGAAAGAAAAAGAAAGAGAGAAAGAGAAAGAGAGAGAAAGAGAAAGAGTGAGAGAAAGAGAAAGAGAAAGAGAAAGATAAAGAAAAAGATAGACAACCACTCATCCATACACAGCCATCATCAGGCTCCCAGATTACAAGCGCCGATAACCTTGTCTTATCCATCACCCTCGCGAGTAAGTGCGGGCGGGTCGCGAACGGAACAAGGAGACTGTAGACTGAATTACCTTTTTTTAGGCCTACGGAGCCCACGCGCGAACACCTGCTTGTTAATTAAGTAACTTCAGACACGTGTCACGGGCGGGGGATGGGAGGTGGGGGGGGAGTGGGAAGGTAGGGGGTAGAGGGGAGGAGGAAGGGAGGGAGGGAGGGAGGAAGATAGAGAGGAGAGAGGAGGGAGGGGGGAGGGAGAATGAATGAAGGAGAAATGGAGAAAAATAAGGGAAAGATGACAAAGAGGAAGAAGGGAGGGAGATATAAAGAGGGAGAGGGAGATAGAAGGGCGAGAGAGACGTAGGGAAACAAGAAGAAAGAGAGAAAGAGAGGGAAAAGAGGGAGAGATAGAGAAAGAATCGAGGGGAAGAGAGGGGGGGAGGGGGAGGGGGGGCGTTGAGAAAGAGGACTCCCTAAAAGACAAATGACCTTTTAAACGTTGGGTCCCAAGGCACTTTTATTTCCTGTCATCAGTTTCCTGTGAAAATAAACAAACCAGAAAGAAAGTTTTGAGTGCAAAGAGCAAGCAGAAAAAGGAAGACAATAAAGAAAGAAAATTAAAAACCGTAAAATAAAATAAAATCAAAATCTAAAAAAACAAAAAAACTAAACAAAAAAACAATAATTGAAAACAGTAAAATGAAAAAAAAACTAAAAAAGAAAAAAGAAAAAAAATGATAAGGTCAAAACAAGAAGAAAAAAACGTAAGAGTATGGGCGATAAATCCAAGTTGTGACATATTTATGTAGGCCTATCTATATTCCAAATTGGGGAGAGGGGGGGGGGGATTTGTATTCAGCACGTGCGCTCATTCGCCCAAAATAGAGAAACGCCTATTGAACTATACATGTTAATTGAAGTGTATATAGAGTGAACCGTATATGGTGAATGAAATAAGATCAACGCATGCTTACTATACCTATATATGAACAGTATGTACGTGTGCGTGTGTGAGGATATATATATATATATATATATATATATATATATATATATATATATATATATATATATATATATATATATATATATATATATATATATATATATATTCATATATATATATATATATATATATATATTCATATATATATATATATATATATATATATATATATATATATATATATATATATATACACATATATATACATACATATATATACATACATATACATATACATATACATATACATATATGTATACATATATATATATATATATATATATATATATATATATATATATATATATATATATATATATATATATATATATATATATATATATATATATATATGTATGTATATATGTATATGTATATGTATATGTATATGTATATGTATATGTATATGTATATGTATATGTACATGTTGTGTGTGTGTATATATATATATATATATATATATATATA